TTTGGATGGTTTAAAAATAGTTTTTGATTACATATTTTCTAACAAAATATGAATTAAACTGGCTTTTACAACTAAATATTTTAATAATTATAAGCAATACAGTCGGTCCACTTACACCTTATATAGTTTCACTCGTTTTATAAATAATGTCGTTTAGACTCACCAACCTTCCTCCTCACCATCCACCTTTTCCATCGCCCCATCTCTTTCACATATCAGCTGATAACATCAAAAGGGAAAAAGAGCTACGGAAAAAAATATCGGTTCCGTGGAAGAGTTCCAAATCTTAAAACATAACAGCGCCAAATAAAGTAAAGACCAATGAATAAAAAAACTATGATTCACAGAATCTCATTACCTCAAGCATCAAACGACTTTGACGATTCCTACGATAAAACCTTAAACTATAGGTGCGATCACTTACGTTACGTTAATCTCCCTAAACGCAGTCAATTAGAATTGATCTACAAAAGTACAAATAATAAATAACTAGCACATAAAAATACATACATACATTTATTACAAGTTCCCTAACATTATTGTAATTTGTATATTGTTACAAAACGAAAGTGCAGGTACCTCATATGCAGAGTTAAGCGTATCCGATATTAATATACCTATAATAATTATGTGATACATCCGGCCGCCGCTAACCAAATTCTAAACTTAATAGTCATAACATAAAAAATATACGTTGACGTAAAACCATCCACATTTATTTATTACTGTTCAAATCTCTTAGTAAATTTATACTTCCAAAATTATATTTTGGATATTTATACGTAAGTAGCTGAACATCATTTCGATAATGACAAAATATATTTGGAATTCTATTTGTTATTTTTTTATATTTTCTATATATTCTTCAAATATATGTGAAATAATAAAAATGCATTCGTTCAATGATGAGAATTATCATGACGAAATTAAGACCAAGTTCTAGTTTTACGCCTTACAAAATTATATACACGTTTTTTAGCGAAGAAAAATACTTTAAAAAACGAATAATAAGATAATAATATTAAGATAGCTAATTAAAAATAAAATTTAAATACTCATACACTTAACATTAATAATAATAAAGGGAGAGCAGCGACGCCGTTGACATGAAAGACGTCACACCATTGTATTCTAAAACTAGCGTCAATTTAACCAAGGGACAACACTAATTATTATTAATATTGTATAGTATGTATAAATCCAAATGTATATTGTGTCTATCTTTCTATTTGGAATATAGGTTCACGAGACAACATTCAACAGGCATGCTCATCACAACTTATCAAATAAAATAAAAAACTAAATTTTAAAACTAACTTCCATGTGTTTTGGTGAAAGGTAAACCGAGTCCGGATGTTAATCCAAACTTAGTATTTATAATAATGCTGTTCTAACATTTTCAACGTACACATACTTCCCAAAATTTTGTAAACTAATTTTATGTAACCGAATAAATAATTAGGACACTTTCAATTATTCATAAATCACAAAATTCTCATTAGGAACATAACAAGAAAATAAAAAAATATTTTTCCACTTTGAAATTTAACGCTACGTGTTTTTACAACATCAAACACATAAATATTGGCGGGAAAGTATATTAAATAAATATAATCATGAGTGATCAATAGAGTGTCTCGTCAATCGATACGATTCTTAGAATAAACTCGCTCATCACCAACTATCAGCCCGAGGATTTGTAAGGAGAGTACCTGCCTCAACGGCAGTTTCAAGGGTGCCAAAACATTACATAATTTGATTTTGTCGCAGAAAAAATGACAAATACGTTTTTTTCTTATATTTCTCGAACGTTACGGAAAGGGCGGCGATATTAATTTTCAGATAAAGGACGAAATCTCAACTCTACAAGCGATTCGCCCCGCCACGAAACATCCTTAGTGATTGCAAGAGTTAATTATAACAAATATTCATAAGTATGTTCGATATCGAGACACAATTTGATCCTTAGCAAAATATTATCTTGTCCTCTGCATTTGTTTTGCGACATTCATTTGCGAGTAGTATAAGTGAAAAAAAAATATCGAAATTAAATATGCGACTGAATTCTACAACTCATTTAGTTGACCAAACAATGTTTTATTACTTCATTGAAATTTCAGTAGCTCAAAGATTCGTGCAATCGAAGCGCCACAACTTGCCTTATAATTAAACTAAACTGATTTTGTAATGTTCTGATAAAGACACAAATAAATTGCCATGAAAAATAAATGGAATACAAATCGCTCGATAAGATGTGGAAAGTGTAATTATAGACATTGAAATGTTATTAGGCGCAGCATGAACTTTGTTAACGACACTCGATTCAAGATAAAGTGTTACTGTCCCGCTCACATTTCAGCTGCGTAAGTGAGACAGCAATACTGGCTTTATTATATTATATCACATATCACGTGATATACGGCGTTCATGATACGGGAGCAGGGTTATATTAATAAAAAATAGAAAATAACGTTTATATTCGAAATCTACGCCCGTAAACTTATAAAACCATACGACACATATTGTATTGCAATTTAATATACATAGTAAATATAATAATACAAGCTAATTATTGCTCAATTACACTATCGACAAACAAAGTCAGTGATCTCGAAGACTACATCGACGGACCGATGTTAAGTTTCGACGTTATTTCTTAAAATTACTATTCCCCGGCAATTTTCACTAGAGATCATTGTTTTATAACAAATATATGATCGGTCTGTATATTTACATCGGTCTTTACAATGTAAATGCATTATAATTGATAAGTGTACAAAAATATAAAATACTACTCTCCTATTACGGATATAAGTATGATAATTAATAAATCACTACATTTAACTTTTCATCGCACGAGAACGTATAGTGGCGTAGAATATACACCCAAAGAGGAACTAAGGTGTCATCCCGCGAAGGAAAGATTGAAAATTATTGTTTTAAAGATATATCAAACATAATTATTATTGCTTTTTTATGTTTGATGGTGATACCCGAAGAAATTGGTAACACCGTAGTTACACCATTAAAAAATATTGTATAAGAATGTGCTAAAACATTTCAAAAACTTTTGCTATTTATCGCTACTTAATCTTTCGTTCATTCTTTTTATCAGCCAAAAGACGTCCTGCCGTGTGGTAAATAAAAAGCGTGGGCCGATTAAAAAGCACTTTTGATAGGTTTTTGCGGTGTGCCGCCGTATGTGTAATATGAATATTTCAAAAGCACACTTATTATTCAATCCAAATTACATTGAACTTGAATGCTATAAAAATAGAGTTAAAGATTGATTGCAGACATTTTAGATTCCTATTTTAGGTGATAAGTGCTACTGTTTGAAAAAAAAATTACTTGCAATATTTAATCTTCTGTATGTAGGAATAAGTTTCTTTATTACTAAAAATCAAATCAAAACCAATCAACACTCCGCCGCCATTATAACTGCAAAAAGCTGACGTCACAAAATAATCTGGGACATTTTGATGTAATTTTGGGCTTTTTCTCTATAGAAAATCTATCTACAAAAATACCATTTGTTGAATAGTATCAAACAACTAAAACTGCGCTTGAAATCCTGAGGTAAATTCGTCTGAGAATTACGTATAGGATTAAAACTCAGACCTAATGCGCATGCGTTCGTTTTTTTATTGTCACTATTATATAAATCACCGTTTCTAACGGAAATAAAAAAGTAAGCATTAATAATAATTACTACGGCAAAAGGCAATACTCAAAATAAAAACGGTTTTGAAGATTTTACATAGAAAATAATATGAGATCGATAATTGAATGTGACAAAGGATTTGTGACGTATAATCGAATTTATTGGCAGCAATTTAATCTCATTTTAATTATTTAAAGTCATAAGCAGTTCGAGAAACTTCAATGAACTTATGAATTAATTAACTTTTATTGTATACCATAGTAGTTATATCAAACGATAATAAATCATATTTTTATGTAGAAGTTCATTACGATTACGGTCAAGATATTTTTATCCAGCAATAGATGGCGTTAAACATTACATTTGAAATCTGTGCGTCTTTTAAGAGAAGTTGAAGTCTAACACAGGGAAGAAAAGAGGCGGAGAAAGAGTTTATTTTATACTATGTATTAATTGTTAGCGTGTAAGGTTTATTTTAATTCTCAACATATTTTCATTGGTTTAATGAAAAGAACTTTCTATTTTTTAATTAAGACAAATAAAAGTATCATGAAACTTCAAATTTGATTTGTTAATATTACGTGGAAGCTAAAAAAACACCACTATAAAGCATTATGAACATTTTCATACAAAAAAACGCCATCTATAGGAAAACATCAGGACCATGACTTTTCAGTGCCACTAATGACGCTTTACTAATTACGTAGTTTTAATTAGTATCACTTGTTTAGCATGGGCAATACTTACTTATCCAACAACATGAACACGCAATCAACCACTTGTTAGACGACACGACACCACTTCTACATCATAATAATTCCCTACTGTATAACATCGACAAGGAAGGGCCGTTACAATAAACACCTACCAACTTATCTACGGAAGAAGGACAGTTTCACTTGAGATAAACTAAATATATTGCGTTGAATAACCTTTTACCTATAAATGAATACGCTAAGCGAATGACCTTATTTGAAGCCTATACTATTCACCTACCCTAAATAAAATAAGCTTCGAATAAAGCTATATAAATTGAATATTTTTGTTTTACAAAGATGTAACATAGTGTACTTACATCATACCAGGGTACAAATCATTTAAAGTCGACCACAAACTAGAGTATATTTGGTTTTAAATTAAAAAAATATATATAATTATTATTATTAATATTCCAAGCAATTTTTGAGATCCTAATAAAAATACTTCGCAGTCTCAGTGTTCTTTTCTGTTATATTGTTTAAATAAATAATATACATGTTAAATTTACTTTAGTGTATGGGCGACGCTACCATAGACTTTCAACGACGACTTTGGAAAAAAAACCGCAATCTTCACATACTTCGCCTATAGGATATCAACCTTTTACTAGTTTCAAATAAGCATACATGCACTAATGTGTTAACAATATAGTCCACTTAAAAATAACATCATAGTCACATCCCTTACATACGAAACTTAAAGCATGAAGAAAAACATTTTCAACCCTTGAGACTATCAATATCGAATTTGTTCCTAACGTTTATAGTACATAGCTATTAAAACTTACAGTAAAAAAGAATAAAGTTACTATGTTATGAGGGCGCGCTAGTCGATAATTCCATGGACACTGACGATGGTACCTGAATCTGAAATAAAAATATCTAATAAAAAAAATATAGTTTCTGCAACACAGAATCAATGGGCATCTTACAGGCAGCTTATAAGTTTTCGTTCGACTGTACTGATATATTCATTTGTCTATGTTTTGCCAACGAGGATAAAATGAAATTAATTTTAGAAATATACCATAGTGAACTCAAAAATCAATAAAAAATATCAATTAAAGAATGTACATTTGTATTCACCCTTAATTTCAAATTAAGATTTCATTTTCAATAATCAAAAACAATAAATTGATAGAAACTGACTTTAGATACCCACCTTGGTCATGAGCTGTGTTTGCGCAGTATGCAAGTAAATAGAATCACCGATGTTTTCCAGCACACGTTCATCAACTACATGCTCATCCACCACTTGCTCGTCCACCACATGCTCGTCCACCTCATGCTCGTCCAATACTCGCTCGTCCAACACACGTTCGTCCAACACGGCCTCTAACGCGGCCGCTAGTTCCGAACTCTCAGCAAAAGTGGCACTGCCTTCCGCTATACCGGAACACAAAGAACTTACATCAGAACACTTTATTTGAGATAATCTGTATATAATTTTACCGCAGATAATATAACACGAAAGAAGTAAAATATGCGTATTTTACTTTGAAAAATCAGCATTTTACAGTTACTACAAATAAATAAACATATAACTTGAGGTTGATACTGAAGGCGCCATCATACAATAATTTTGAATGCTGAAAATAAAAATTTGGTATCGATACTACGTATTAATTAGTAAATAAATAAAACAAACCTTGGTTGAAAAATTCTGTGAATGCTTCATCGGGAATTTGGCTGAGGACTGACGGATCAAGTATGTCGTCGTGGGGAGCATGCTCCACTTCTACTTCTAAAACAATCAGTAAATTGTGTATATACACGTGATAAAAAAATATCCAACTGAGACTTATAATCAGTAAATAACTCATATAGCCGGCAATCGCAGATGGCGTAGTCTTAATTCTGCCTTCAAAAAAAGGAAACAGTCAATCGATTATAACATGTATCGTCAGAGCCATCAAGGAAATATATTACTAGAGTAGCCTAATACTTCTTAAACTGAATTGTAAGTATATTTATTTTGAAAAATTAACTTGCAATTTCTATTAAAGAAGAAGCAAAACGCGGGCGGCTATGACGGAGCATCGGGTGATATCATAATTTAGTAAACGTCTTTATCTTTGTAGCTAGTGCAACCAAGTCGTGTTTAATGTAATGTGATGTCACAAATCGAAATATCACGTGACTGATTGTTTACGCGGAACAAATTGAATGAGTAAAAATATGTTTTTCCTTTACTTAATAATATTTTTTAGAGAAATAAATAGTGTTTTATTATTACCATATGAAAGTTTTAAAATCCTTTTTCAAAGCAGTCAAGAAGCCAATTGGTAAATATCCTTTCTTAAAGCAGTCAAGTAGCCAATTGGTAAATAACAGGAACTTCTCAATTCATGTGCAATAGGATACTTTTTTAGTCTTACCTAATTCATGTGAGGTATTCGCCACTGTGATATATTCATTTTCACTTAGGGCTCCTATCGCTGTGTCTTCGGAACTATCGTACGTAGAAGAATTTGAACACACATTGATTTCTGAAACAAAATGATGAATTTCAATGTTCTAATTGTCTAATACGGGTGTAGACAGTAAACAAAAATAAATGCAGTTTCTTTTTTCTTGTAGTGTTTAATATACTATTACCGATAATCACACTTTTATACTTATTGTTACTATATTTATAATATTGCTTAAATAAATAATTATGAAAAAAAGTAATATTTTATGCATGTTGTCACGTGATTGCAAACAGCGCGTGACATCATGAGCCTCTCTACTCATATCAAAACTTGAAGATGAAACCTTATGCATACATAGAACGATATAAGGCTGGCGTCTTCGCTGGAAATTTTTAAAATTAAATTTATTTCTAGATTTTAACTTATCATATGCATGATACTATTTTTATATATCTTTCATGTATATCTATAAAATAAAAATATAATAAAGTCTACACCCCTATTTATACTCAATCTGTTGTTTCATAGATTTCATAAACTATACATAATTATAGATGTAATCCTTATTAATTATATGAATATTTTAATGTATGAGAGAAAAAAAGAGTCAAATAGAATTAAAGCATAACATTTATATATATTTATATATATATATATATATATATATATATATATATATATATATATATAACGGCGGGTACTCAGAACAGGCTATTATGAAGCCCAAATAGATCGTCCATATTGGAGGTCTATCTTTAAAATAACACTGCAGGCGTGTATACCAACGTGGATTTATTCCATTTTATCACTTTTCACACGAAAATATAACGAGATGAGCGTGATGTCATCGGATGTCTTTACTCCTCGGCGATTGCAAACAGAATGTGTGCCAAAATGGCGGCAACTTGGTTTTTATAAACGAACTGTCAAAGTCAGTGTCACCATTCTATTAAATTAAAAGTATCGATGATCACGCTCTCTTTACAATCGAGTAATTAAGTAATCGAGTAACTAGCAATTAAAATAAAAGAAACTAAATCAAACGATCTTCGTAAGGATGATGCGACATATATATATATATATATATATAATATTAGAGAATTTATAATCCCCGCAAATTGCCAATGCGCCTAGCCGCCATTTTGATGACGTAAACCAGTACTGCTAATAAATAAACAATAGTTGATGTGTACACTTATTGAGTTGGGTCGTGTTGAAATCACGCATTATTTTTGTTATGTTTTTGTTGGTTTCAATCGTTATTTATTGACATATTTTGTTATTACTTGTTATGGTTGACTAATAAAGCCACTACGATTATGAGTTTCACAATAGGTTAACATGATTTCACTAATAATAAATATATCTGAAGTCCAACTTCATTGCTACTTTTAGTTATGCTTTAAAAATGTTCGTTCCGTTTATTATCACATAATTACATAGAAAATGTATTTTTTTTTTCATGAAAAAAAAACATTGCCTTTTTCCAAAATTATTGCAATAAAGTTATTAATGAAAAATTCATAAAAAAAAATTGTATGATTTTATTAATAAAAATAATGTAGTAGCGCAAAAGTAACGAGTGCTTGAAATATTCCTTTCCTAGGTAGTTCAGTAGTTAGAGCAGTCGCCCGGATTGTGAAAAGTCATGGGTTCGAGTCCCATCTCAGAGTGCCAGGGACAAAGTGGATTTTTAAGCATTTTATACTAAGAATATTTTTCAGTATTGTCAATGCAAAATTGCACAAATATAATAAACTAATGGTCAGTTGCACAAACGTCCATTAAAGTTTAATGACGCCTTAAAGCTCTAATGAATGTCGAATGTATATAGGTAATGTCGCTTTAAACTAGTGAAAATATGTGCAAGTGGCTATAAAAGTTATTAAATTGTTATAACAATAATTTGGGGATTATTATAATTGATAATTAATAAATAAATTATCTCTTGCCTTTTTTGCTATCAATACTTTCAATTTTCATATGACATCACGCGGTTTATTTAAACAAAACAAAAGGGTTTAGCCGGATACATATGACGAGTCGGCCCCCAAATGGGAATCGATATTGAAACTTATGTTTTAATATAGACTTGATGTTCTAACACGATTTATGTACTTTTCGCGACCGACTTCCGCTTTGACCTTGAGATAGAGAGCAAAATATCCGTATGCTTGACTATTACTGAATGTGATATATCTCTGAAGCTAATTAAGATAAAGAAGTGAAACTAACGCGAGGTGTTAGGTTACATTACAGAGTATATCACATATATTTTTTTATAATTTTTAGAATAAAAAATTACATTAAAAAAATAAAAATAAAAATAAACATGTTTTTTTTTCTGAGTTTTCTGTGACTTACAATCACGAAATTAATATATGTTATGCTCCTTTGTGTGCTCTATCACCCATAAAAATTGCGTGAAAAAAAAGTTGGTGCAACACAACGAAAAAAAATTATATGTGATTCGCGCCTTATAGTGTGAGTGTATAAACAAACAAGTTCGAACTTGTTATCGAGCTGTTTACTGCATCGTTTGTTTAGCTAAAGTAGCAGTCATTTGTATTACACAAGAACTGTAATACAAATGACTGCTACTTTAGCTAAACAAACGAAACGGCAGTTTGGGACTCAAATTCTGTCATAGGTATTTTGTATCAGCATTTTGAAATTATTAACTATCGAACCAAATCATTATTAAGTAATAATGTCGAAAAAGTTTAAAAATTGTAACAAGTACCTGTGTAAGATTCCTGGTTATAAAAAAATTATAAGGAATGAAGAAGAAGCTAAAGTGTTTAGTGACTGTTTGAATAAAATCGTAATAGTTAATGATATTTTTTGTGAGAAGTGTCGACTTATCCCATATATTAACAAAAAAGCTTCTACTTCTAAATGTGCAGCATTTAACTTGGCCGAAATAATGGACGATCAAAATAATCTCTCAGTACAATATGTGAAATCAGCACCTAATATCATCAAAGCAGAAGTGAAATCAAGACATATAAATAGAAAAGTCTATCGAATTTACATTCACTATATTTCCGAAAGTAATGACTACAATAGTATTCTTCGTTATTGCTATGCTTGCCCCAATGGCAAACGTACAGTGGGATGCTGTTCTCATGTAGCAGCTATTATTTATTATCTATCATATGGATGATATTTGTCCAAAATCGTACGTCCTGCTGAGGTCCTAAGTTATTTGCGACTCAAAGTGTTCCGATTGTAATTAATTACAACAGTGACGATGATTAATATTTTGTTTCTTGTATTTTGATAGACACGAAAAAGTAATAATAATAAGTATTGAACACTGGCTGTTTTTTTTTCATTTCTTTTTTAACTATTATCCCATCTCTTAAGACTAGTTACTTATGTTTTAAAACAAGCTGATGTGAAATTTCGAAAAAAAAAGCAATGATGTAATGTGAAAACCTTATAATACAGGGGTATACCATAAGACAGAAATCACATATAATTTTTTTTCGTTGTGTTGCACCAACTTTTTTTTCACGCAATTTTTATGGGTAATAGAGCACACAAAGGAGCATAACATATATTAATTTCGTGATTGTAAGTCACAGAGAACTCAGAAAAAAAAACATGTTTATTTTTATTTTTATTTTTTTAATGTAATTTTTTATTCTAAAAATTATAAAAAAATATATGTGATATACTCTGTAATGTAACCTAACACCTCGCGTTAGTTTCACTTCTTTATCTTAATTAGCTTTAGAGATATATCACATTCAGTAATAGTCAAGCATACGGATATTTTGCTCTCTATCTCAAGGTCAAAGCGGAAGTCGGTCGCGAAAAGTACATAAATCGTGTTAGAACATCAAGTCTATATTAAAACATAAGTTTCAATATCGATTCCCATTTGGGGGCCGACTCGTCATACGTATCCGGCTAAACCCTTTACGGGACTTATACCTGATAAACTCTGTTCGGCGGTGGGCGTTCGCTCTGTTACAGAGTGTGGAGTGCGAGTGCTGGAAGGGGCCCTGGCTGGGGGCCGTCGCCGCCTCTTAGCACGCCGCGGGGGCCGGGCCGGGGCCGCCCATATACGTTTGCGGACCGTCTTCTTCGGGCGACAATCTCGTGCCAACTTATCGTAGTTGTCCTGGAGAAACCATCACCTTCTTAAACCTCAAACAACTTTATTTTTTAATTTTAGCAAAAATGATTGACGCATTTCTCAGCGCTTGGCTTGTAAAAATGTTGTGTAGTTTAATATGTATCTACTAGATGGATTATTAGCCGTCACCACACCGAGCGTTCCACCTCGGATAGCGCAAATCGTTGATCCAGCGCTCCAATATATGTATCATACATAATAGATCGTTTGGTCTGGACAGCTGCAATTTTTTCACACCGCACATACTAAGCAACAAAAAAATTATCATCAAATTGCAGTTTGAATCTCGTGATCCAACGTTTACACCGCTCGCTCTTGCCTAGCACGATCATGAAAGCGTTAGATCGCCTTGGATCGTTTGGTGTAGATGCAACTAATGGATCTAACAATGCTACTTAAGATATATCTATCATCAAGAGACACAAACTACTAACAGACAAAACGTGACATAAGCTATCAAAATCGTATCGTAAAGGTAATGACAGACATGCTCATCAATAGGAAGTTTGCTAGTAATGAGTGTGCTTTATTCAAACATGCTTATAAATCGCCGCACGTTTATATATTCGAACATGCACGGTTCATAATAGCATGCTTATTGTCATTCGCTTTTTGTAACTAATTATCAAAGTCATTAGTGTTTATGGAATACAAGTTCATAAGCATTGCCTAATAAGCATGGTTAAAATAAGCATATGTGTACAGTATAACTGGAAGCTCGTTTTGAGAATGCTTTTTAGGGATCAATTAGCATGCCATTAATGAGCATGTTTGTCAGTAACTTAACAAACGCTTCTGACAAACATCAGATAGAAAAAAAATCTACAATAACATTTCATTTTTCATTAATTTCAGTCAATGTATGGACCCACACCGTCTAAAACACTATATAAAAAGCTTTGTCACCCTTTTCCAAGCGTGTTCTGGACACAGCGGCGTCTGATCTTGCAGCGGTAACAGCGGCTGCATGCAGCGCGACCCGCCGGCGAACACCGCCGCGCACGCCGCGTACAGCCGCTGCTCGGTCGCTAGCGTCACGTGCGACAAACAATATCGACCGCAAGGTAGCGGAGATTCTGTGCAACGCTCTTCGGCGCAACACCCGTCCGATACGCGAGACAATGATCCACTCTCACCACCGGACCAACCGGTTTCCCTAAATAGAAATATAACTTTTACTATATACACGCTCTTTATATGATTTCGTATATACAAAACTGTTTACCCGCGACTTCGCTTCCGTAAATTATAGTATGATCTAGCTTCCCGTAGCTGAAAGAAGTTTCATGATCAGATCAGTATTTCCGAAGATTATTCGCTAAAAGTAAGTTAAAAACTACCTCTTAATATTTGCACAGATTAATATTCCAAGGATTGTGTACGGCTGTATTTATTGCAAAACACGAATTATTATATGACATTAACTAATTTTGAGTACCTGAATAAAAAAAAAAGGGTTCAAGTTAGATTTCATATTTGTTGAAACAGAAAAAAGCACTTAAAATTATTAATATTAAAAGGAATTATGTGAAATATATACTCAAACTACCTCAATTGCTTGCGTTCGTTAGAAGAAAGAAGCATGGGCATTCCACGTAATGCCAATAAATAGTTGATGGTTTGTGGAGGCAAGTGACCACTGCTACCCTTTGTGTTTAACTGTTTCTGCAGAGTCAAAAGAAATTTTAATTGGTTATTCAGAACATATAACGCAGATATGTAAATTATAACTAGCATGAATGGCAACTATAAAAATAATTTATTGAAGTTAGACAATTGAATTTCCACTGTCTAGCGTATTTTATTAGATATATTTTATGAATATCATTAAAATTAAATAAAAAGTTGTCTACACCTCTATCTTGTTGATGATTCTGTACGAGCGCAATAGAAATAAGTTTGTGTATGAGTGAGAGATATGTAATACGGGGTCGTTGTGCGAAATTCGTACACGAGTTCGGACCCTAACTCGAATATACTCAGGTCTCTGAATTTAATTCGAAAGCGAATCCGCGCAACGTATATTGGTGTAGATATTCTATTGATACCATTCTTTTTAAATATTCTATCCCTATCGTTTTGAAAATCACTTCACTAATGCCACGAGACATTAATACCTATTCAAGGTTAAGCGGATGTCGCATTCGAATTGAATTCGAATTCGGGTTCGTATTTTTACGGAATGGGGAATATGCATCTAATTCAAAAAAGAGTTAAAATATATTTTAGTTCGTTTTCGAATTGAAAATAATTATTAAAAAATGCAAAAAAATGCGGCAACTACAAAATATTCAAACTCCATGCTACTTGTCGGAGCGGATGTGACGAAAATGTACACGTATAGGGATGTCATTGTTACAAAAAGTTTACATCAATGTATTATGTCGCAAAATAAACAGATTACAATTTAAATTATGATTTAGGTTGTTATTTTTATTTCACTAATTTGGTAAACAATACTATTATTTAAAAACTCTATTATACTTAAAAATCGATTAGTTGTCGATTGATTTGGGTAATAGAGTAAAAAGCAATCACCCAAAATCTGTATTGATTTAAAATGTCATATCTCTAGTCGTATTCTTTGACGTCACTCCAACTGAGCCAAAAATTCCAGCATTTAATTGCATGTTATTGTTACTTTTGTTTCATCAATTATTATTATGTTACTTTTTCCAGTGCCGGGTATTGTTTTGAATAGTTATATAATGATATAAATTATCACATGAAAACATTTTTAATAAACATGCATATTCCCTATTGCTCTGCTGTTCCAGAACCGTATTATAGCACATCTCTAGATGGCGCTTTTCTTGTTATAATAATATACTTCTCTTAATGACATATTTTGATCTATTAAATAATATACTCTATACATGTTTTATTTACATATTACAATGACGTCAATATAAACAGCGTTTTCGCACATATAGTTTTTATATACTGAAATTTCCAAGTCCTATTTATGAAGGATCATTTGAATAAAACTTTTATCTTTGTATGTTTCATTGTTTACCTTTATCAACGTCGCCAGCGACCTTTGCTCCTTATGATGTCCAGAAAAACGCATTTCTGTGCCTACCCTAGCTACGTGTCTTCTGAGTGCGGCTCGTCGCAATGCTAGTCTGGCGGCGCGTGTCTCTGCCGCAGTCTCCTCCACGCAGACCGGTCCCATACCCAAATCTAATATTCAAACATTAAAACCTTTTATTTAGGCTATTTTTTTACAATTTTAACGTCAACACGCTTTAGTAACCATAATAAAACTTATCCACCTTGTTAACTTTCATACCATGTAACATTTAGAACGACAATCAAACTAAAGCACAATTTAAACTATTAGTAAATTTATATGAAAAGTTCAAAATTGTTTTGTCTCTTAAATTCATAAAACAAATCAAGATGATCATGTAACAATTATTCATTTCCTAATTACATCTAATCTAATATTTTAAGAGGATTATAGTGATGAATACATGGTTACTACCTTTGCTTACCATTTCTATAAATAAATTAAAGTAATTAAACTTATAAAAGACAAATCACACAATACTTATTTATACAAAAACTTCAAATTATAACTGTTTTCCCTCGATATCACCTGCATAAATATAGTCATTCAGCCAGTTACACAAACATCGATTAAAATTGTCCAATACAAATTTAACTATCATTAGAGCTTAAGGGCGTCATTAAACCTTAATGGATGTTCGTGCAATCAACTATATGCTACCTGCCTTTAAAGTAGTAAAGAATTTTTAATTTCGATCGAGTACTTACAGAACCTATTCAATGCAAACCAACAAACAATCAAATCTTTCCTTCTTATAATATTAGTATATATAGATAACTACCCATTGAGACTAATCTTATTTTTTAAAAGTGTCACCAATTATTTCATAACAAATGGATGAACTGCTATCTATTTACCGGAATCTGGCATGTAGTCATCATCACTGCTGCTGCTTTCCATTTGTCTAAAGCCTTTTCTATCGGTTAGTGGTCCACATTCAAAGAGTTCTTCACCAGGTGCGTGCCAAGTCTTGATGGATATTGGTATAGCGCGATTTGAAGGTATCCGCTGCAGTGCTTCATGGACTGCTGGGCCCCGGCCTTTCCGTGATTTTGGATAAGATACAACTTTGCCTAAAATATATAATCACTTTGTAACTGGTCAACATCCTCTAATGCATGATTTTATTCGGAATGCCCTGAGCATTTAATAAAAAAACATTGCTCTGCTTGCTCTAATATGATTAAAAAATTCTTTTTTCTGCCAAGAATAATTTACATTTATGCTCTGAGCTTCATATGCATATAACTTACTTTTTTACTTAAGACCTAATAATAATTATTGTTATATATTCCTTATTGCATGCTAAACATATTGCACACCTAGATCTAAACTAAGACAACTCAAAAAACGAATGTGGAGGTCTGACAATACATTTGTTTACGTGGCAGGAACGCGACCACTGTTGAATCCACAAAAGAAAGCTAAAGTTATCTAGCGGCTCATCGCCAAACCTTTATTGAATCTGTTATGTTGGATAGATGCATATGATCACAGAGTACTTGAATATTGTACTTAGTCAAAACTCACTCAAATTTTTGAGTTGTTTGAGTTAAGATCTAGGTGTGCGAATAATAATAACAAAGAAGCTATGAAGAGAGCAAATAAATGGCAATCTTATTGCTATGTTACAAATTCTTAAATCTATAAAGAGCAAAAAGGAAAAAAATATTTAGGCTCCAATTAAAAAGTAAAAGTAGTTTAATTGTTGCTTTTTCTTGTTTATACAAAGAAGAACTCCATCATTATCTATATAGTGAAGTTGACTTGTGATCATATTTAAAAAAAAGATATTAATGTATTAATATCAATGTACCATTTCATTTGTTTTTGCAGTAAGTGATTTAATGATATAAAAAACTGCATACATATCTAATACTACATGTTTCTGGGATCACAATAATGCAATTAACATTTTTATTATGTGAAATATCAAATGAGTGTTATAAATCATACCTGATTGAGATTTCTTAGGTGTGGGAAATGGTAATTTAACTGATGGCTGAACTTCAGGCTCAGTCTTTATGATAGCATTTTCAACAAGACCTTGTTCTCTTTTAAAAACATCTAAAAAAGTTTCAGGTCCTGCTGCTTTAGAGGTTGATGATGTGGTAGATAGTGTACTATTTGGTATTGAGTTACTAACACTGCTCTTGTTATTGGCAACAGGTGTAGCATGTCCTTTAGAGCTATGAGTACTTGCATGGCGAACTTCAGTAGCAGCAGCTGCTATAATGGCTTCTTTTGTTATATGACATTTATTTTTATGTACTTTTGCCTCTACACTTTCATCAGGAACTGTATTTGTTTTTTTTTTCAATAATGCTGTATAATGACCATTAGGAATCTCCAACTTTACTTCCTCTTTGACATCTCCATTAGGTAAAGTATCCTCAATATCTACTTCTTTACTAGGACTATCCAATAATTTATTTTTAACATCAACATTTTCGGAAAATATAAAAGCGTCTTCTGTGTGTCCGACTGTTATTTCACTAGCAATAACATCAGAATCATGAAATGTATATAATTCGTTGGGATCAATTTTAAATTTGGTATGGAAGAAATTATCATTTAGGTGTGTAATATACTGTTCATCACCAGAACTATCATGTATATACATGTTTACGTCACTACTGCAGTTTCCCGCCACACCCTCAACTGCCATCTTATACTGCGTTGCACAGCTGGCATCTGATATATTTTGTGGGATACCACTGAAACTTAATTAATATTAACATTAGTTTTAATTATCTTATTCAGATATATTGCAAAGAAAAACGTAATATAAGCAACCTATTTCTTTTTCATATATTGAATTGGTGATATAATTTCATGAATACTCTTTTATGTTTAAAAACTATAACAGAAGCTAGTATACCAAATATATTACCCAACATTTTCTGAAGCACTCAAATAAGACATGCTGTATTCATTTTACAACTTTAAGCTAAAGATATTTCTACTAAGAGATGTGGTAAATTATATTGGTCCCACTGCATCATACTGAAAATTAATAATAAACCAAGATATAAGAATTATAGTCTACATGTATAATTTTCGAATATTAAAACAACAGCATCAAGCATTGAGTTTTAAAAACAACAAAATAGTTCTCTTTTGTTGTTACAGAACCCGTAGGTACCTACTAATTTGACAATGACATCTGTCAAATTGGATAATTACTCATATTTTCCGTAAATTTTTGAGACATTTTAGTGTTTTACGTGGAAGAATGAAATAGTTTTATTATATGGATTCCTTTAAGAAACTTAAAAACACAACAAATTACATAAAAATCACATAAAAGTAGAAAAATGTTACACTGTACTTTGAGCGATTCCAGCGTCATTTTAGATTGTAATCCAATAATTATTATTAAAAATATTTCATAAAAACACCAGCCTGTTAATTTGATCAATATATCTAGTTGAAATTATAGAAAACAAAAACTTTTACTTAATAACATCAAAAGAATGACAGAATACAGCAAATGGCAGCCAAAATGCGGTTTCGTTCAGGAAACTTTAGTTACTATCAACTGTACATACGAACCATGACTGTGCATTTGATAAAATTAAAATTATACTTATGTTAAACATAATAATAAAATAAAATTATCTCATTGGTGTACATAACATTTTGTAAGAAATATATAAAAATATACCATTAATTAAGTCTAAATATTATTAAAAAGAGTATGGCTGCATTTACACGGGATTAGTTTGATAATTTATTAATGACGAAATGAAGGTAAGTCAGTGATAGGAGTATTATTATTATATGGCGATGTGTAATGAGGAAGTATTAAAAAAAACGAAAGCACTAAAACAGCACATACACTAGATGGCGACTATAGCAAAAGTTGATTTTTCCAGGAAACGAATGGACCAAAGACAGTAATTTCCGTGCCTTTTAACTAACATATTAAAAAACTGAAATTTAAAAAGTTCGTAACTTAGATATCAATACTAATACGAAAAAATACAAATAGAATATGAGTTGTTTATTGAGTTTTGAAAACTAATTTACTTTTAAACATGAAAGAAAACCGGAAGGGTTGTCATGGAAAAATCAAAAATTCACGTGGCTGGTAACCTGAGCTCCGACCTAGGTGTCTGACTAATGGTTGCCAACCATATGAACAGCTGAACAGCTTGCAAGCAAACTACAACATGACCTGCCACGTGCTTGGCCGAAGAGTACCGTTCGAAAGCACAAACGGACATATTAGAATTACGCACAATTACGAAATTACGGAAAATGATTTTAAAATCCAAAATCTAATATTATTTTAGATTAGCGTAGATTTTCTGAAATTTTATTAACGAATTTCTGTATGTTTTCCCTAAAATATCCCTTTTATTTTTTGTTGTCAATAATTAAATATTCACCTAATAAATTCTCCCTGTTTAATAAGCTTATTCCATTTTACAATATTAATTTAAAATTATAAAGAGCTTTTTGAGGAAATGAGAAATATCCTCGACGTAGAACATTTTATTTTGCATGTCGTCATGTCATTTTTTTAAATAATTTACATTAAACGCCTTTATATCTAGCAAATATAGTAAAATTAATAAAGACATGTAAAAATATTTTTTATTTTTTGTAGTTTCTCCACTATGGCAACACTGTCGGTTGTAAAAGGAGTTCCCGCGAAGATACCTTGATCGAAACTTTAAGCTTGCAACTAATATGGATAACACGCCTCAACGCCCCCGACCAGGAATCTAACCAGTCATCTTCCCCCTTATTCTATGACTCTGTGGACAACCGAAATAAACTGATCACAAAGCTCTGTGCGCAAGCGGTCCTATGAAAAAGTGATTTTGACAAATTAAAATTTTACATTTTTACGGTAATAACGACTTTAAGCTGTCAGTTGATTAAGAGAATAGGGTGCTGGTCAGAGCTTAGGCTTAGAATAGGGGTCAGTGAAAATAATGCGTGGTAATACGATTGATACATCACGCGTAACCCTGGAGCCAAACATCTATATTTAATCACATAAGTGTTCACACAGAGCGGTACTGCTATTTGATAATCCTTGTGCTTATATTTTGACTGAACAAAAAAGTGTCAATAAAAAATTAGCGAGAAAGTAGCTATATCTATTGTATTCACATTTTAGGAACCTTAAGGTTGAATGTGTGGTCCCTACTGTAGTAATGGAGCAACTGGCAAGGGAGACTAAAGGATAAGTGTCTCCCTCCGAGCTAGGTGTTTGTTAGCCCGGGGACCGCGGTCCAACCGATGTAGGTTGGACGTTGTATTTATGCTAATTAAGTAATGAAACTTATTCTGTGCGATGTAGGTTTCTTTGTTCTAAATGCCTTGTAGTTATTAATTTATGCTGCTTGTATTGGTACAGCGCCATCTCGTTACCTGCTGTTGAAACTTATTGCAGTTCGTCTTGCTATCGATGGCTGTGACAATGCTAGTCTTCTCGCTATCGATTGTTGTGGCGATGTTACTGCGATGAATTAGATGTCGCTATGTATCAGTCGCCACAACATATATGCCCACGTGTCTGGGGTAGGCCGAGTTTTAAAAAGGTAAGGTGTATGCATGATACTTTTATTTGGGGCTAAAAGGAGAAATATTTATTTTATTTACCTAATTTAAACGGTGTATAAGTAATAAGATTTTTGTCAGCAAACAATTGCAATCGATCACAAGTTCCCGAAATCTAACTAGATGTCACCACGGTACGTTCTTGATTTCTTTATGACAGCTGTTCCGGATTTCTTTCAAAACTCAATAAACAACTCGTATTCTATTTGTATTGATATTTAAGTTTGAATTTTTCAAATCTCAGTTTTTAAATATGTTAGTTAAAAGGAACGGAAATGACTGTCTTTAGTCCATTCATTTCCTGCAAAAATCAACTTTTGCTACAGTCGCCATCTAGTGAGGTGCTTTCTTTTTTTAAATATTTCTTCATTATCATATTATCTTAAAATTTAATCGTGATTATTGTGTGTGACGTGACTTGAAACACGACCCACCACTGTGTGACGTCACTGTGGCGATGGCTGTCAGATTAATCATAAAGATACGCTTAATAATTATAAATAAAATTCCTAGATGGCACTGTTCTTAGCTTATTTATTTCTTCGATGGTATTGTTTTTGTTTTATTGACATCTTTTAATCTTCTACTGTATGCATCTGTTTTGTGTAATAACGACGTCATCGACGGACAGTGTATTCGCGATTATAAAGAAGTGTAAATTTTAATTTAAATTTAAGGCAAGAAAACGTGTTAATTTTACCAAAATATTAGTTATATGGATTATTTTAAATGAAAATAAACAGTTTAATAAACAATTAGGTAGAATACCCTATTGTGCCGCTTCGCACTCTTAATTGTTTCACTAGTAGATCCTAGCACTAGAATTTTCATTTTTGTCTTTAATTTGTTTTATCAGGATTCATATTTCATTCGTAATATAATGCCTTTACAATAATTAATTTTTTACTAATTAATTTCAAGTGGATCATATCAGTGGCCTATAGAAATTGTGACTTACATATTACTCGTTACAAGCACTTTTAATTTTGCATATTCCTTACCATTAATTCAGGTGGTCCCGAGGTACATAAATATGGTGATTTTAAGTATATATTTAGGGCACACCACCCAGGTAAAAGAATGTGTATATACCACTCCCGTAGACAGGTAATCGAGGCAAATGGTTTTGATATAATCTCGAAAAGGGTTGCTTTGAGTTTGAATATTAAAAAAATAACAACTTGTCTGTGGCTTTTTGGTCATAGCGTGTGATAAAAATGATTTTCCTATGTATTGTATGCCTTTATGTGTTATTTAAATAGTCATTAGATAAATAATAATGCCATGTATTAATTTATTATTTCCCTTATAATGCATCTATTTTTATGTATTGTTAATTCCCAGACAAGTTCTTGAACTGGAAATGTGAAAGTCAAATTCAAAACAACCGCGTTTAAAATTTGATTTGAGAACCCCATTCCCGAAGCGTTGTCGTGAATTCAATATGGCGATATTTGATGTTATACTGTTTTGAAGGTACGTCAATTTGACGATTGTATAATGATAATTCCGGTAAATATCTTATTTTCGGAGGTTCATTGATTACCGCTGTAAACAGTCTCACAGTTTGTGCAATTTGAAAAGTAATATAGTGTTGTGAAGAGCAAATTAGTTGTATTGTTTTGTTTGTGATTTCGATAATTTTTAATTATTCCAGTGTTCAATGAAATTGCCGAAATCAGTCGAAGAGTTTTCATCAATTCCATCGCTAAATTAGCCTATCAATATAAGCATTACAATTATAAGCCGTGATAAAGAAAATCAACAACTGTAAAGCTGAATGTAATTACGGTAATAAAATAAGAAATCAGGATAATAATTTTGTTTGTTCCAGAAGTGCACATGTTTTTATACAAATGGGAGTTAAGTAATTTTTTAACCGGGTGCATTAGATTAGCGCCACAATAATTGATTCATTAATTGAGTACATAGTCTTTAGAGCGTTGACTATCATGACAGACACTAGACGAAGAGTGAAGCTTTACGCTCTGAATGCTGATCGGCAGTGGGATGATAGAGGCACAGGTCATGTGTCTTCATGTTACGTCGAAAGACTCAAGGGCACATCGTTATTAGTAAGAGCTGAATCAGATGGATCCCTCCTATTAGAGAGTAAGATACAACCAGACACAGCATATCAGAAACAGCAGGACACATTGATTGTATGGTCAGAAGGAGACAACTTTGACTTAGCACTAAGTTTTCAAGAAAAAGCTGGATGTGATGAAATATGGGAAAAGATTTGTCAGGTAAACTATTTAACATATTCATGTCTAGTATTTTAATATTATCAGTATTTCAATATTTAATGAAATACATCAAACACAGTAAAATGTGAAGAGATTCCTTATAATTTTATCACTATAGAGCCAAATTGAATGTCAAAATAACTTTTTAGATAGAACATATCAAAATAAATAGAAATATATATTAATATTTATTAATGTTCCTAGGATTTCTAGTGATTATTGTTTATGTTGATTTGTCTATTACAGGTACAAGGCAAGGATCCATCAGTTGAAATTACACAAGACATTGTTGAGGAATCAGAAGATGAACGCTTTGATGAGATGTCTGATAGTGTTCAGCCCGTGGAGCTGCCGGCTTGCGAAATGGGTCGTCTGGAAGATATCAGTGAGTTAGTTAACAGCTGTCTTGTGTCACCTGCACGCAAAGATAAACTTGCTGCAGCTCTTGAAAGTCAACACTACATAAAGAAGCTACTAAATCTCTTCCATATGTGTGAAGATATAGAAAATATTGAAGGGTTGCATCATCTCTATGAGATTTTCAAAAGTATATTTCTCCTCAATAAAAACACACTGTTTGATACAATGTTTGCTGATGATACTATATTTGATGTTGTTGGATGTTTAGAATATGATCCAAGTCTATCACAACCTAAAAAACATAGAGAGTACTTACGTGAACTAGCAAAGTTCCGTGAAGCCATTCCTATAAAAAATCAAGATTTGCTAGCTAAAATACATCAAACATACAGAGTACAGTATATCCAGGATATTGTACTGCCAACACCTACAGTTTTTGAGGACAATCTGCTAAGCACATTATCTAGTTTTATATTTTTCAATAAAGTAGAAATAGTGAAACTTATAGAAGAAGATGAGAAATTTCTTACTGATTTGTTTAAATTGCTTATGGATAACAAGACACCAAACCCAAAAAGAAGGGATTTAGTCTTATTTTTGAAGGAGTTTTGTAATTTTTCACAAAATCTACAGCCACAAGATAAGGATGTGTTTTACAAGACTTTAGTGTCATTGGGGATCCTGCCAGCATTAGAAATTACATTAAGTATAGATGATCAGAAAACTAAGACTGCATCTATCGATATTTTAACATACATTGTAGAGTTTTCTCCTTCTGTTGTGAGAGATTATACTTTACAGCAGGCAAACAATACTGAAGAGGTTAGTTATTGCTCAGAGACAAAATTTATGGTAATTGGATTATTTTAATTTTTCTAACTATTATTTATTGATTTTTCAGGAACATATGTTGCTAAATATAGTAATAGAACAGATGCTTAGGGATCGTGATCCAGAGCTTGGTGGTGCAGTGCAGCTAATGGGTGTTTTACGTATACTACTTGACCCAGAGAGCATGTTAGCTTCTGTAAATAAGAGTGAGAAGGCAGACTTCCTAAACTTTTTCTATAAACACAGTATACAAACTTTAATAGGTAAGATGACCACATTATTTTTTTTTCAATGTCATCTTAATCACATAAGTCCATCTGAGTTATGTTATGAGAGATTAATAATAAAATATATATTTTTTTTGTTATTGATGATTGCAGAATTTTACAATAAATCAACTTCATCAAAAAATTCAATGCATTAGGTTGAAAGTGTTAAATAATATTGATTATTATTTGTGCTGATATTTAAAACTCTATTAAAGTTGATTGTGGAATATACATTAGATATTTTTTGCAAAATTAAACTGTAGATGTTGTTTAGTAATTTTATATATATACATTTTTGTCAGAGATAGATTAGGGTTTATAGTACAGTTTTATATTTAGTAAATGGTAAATCAATTTCATGGATAAGTAAAACAGTATTTTTTATTGATTTGCTAATCTTAAAAGTTCCTGATTCAAGTTTATATTCATTCATTATACAAAACAGGTTTGGTTTCAGCCATATTTTAAAAGCTCAACTTTTTAATATGTAGATCAAATTCATGCAAACAAAGTTTGTAGCCATGAATACAAGAACTGTGTCATAATTCTTAAACTGCATTATTGAAACCCAAATATGGGAGTGTGAATAAAAACTTGCTGTATTATCAACATATAAAACATTTAGTTTTATATGAAATATTGCTGTTCCATATTCTTTTTAACTGGTGGAATAAATGTGGGGAAAACTTCAACATAGGGTTTATTTATATGATAAAATCAATGAAAAATTGCCTCATTTTTAATCGAAAGTGTAAACATTTAATTCTTATTGCCTTTTTAAATAAGGTGATGGGATTTGAATGGTGATGCTTTCCGTCCTTGTCCATATGACAGATTTTCTATATCTTAACGTCACAATTCTAGTACATTTCTGTCATGTCCGAAAGAGATTAGATAGTTCATATGTTGGTAAGTTATTTAAATACTTTTTTTACAAATCTTGTTTATTTGACCTTAGCCACATATATTGTAGCATTAAACAATATACATTTACCTTATAGTCCATGTTTGTGTTAAGTAACATTTATTTATAAACCTGTATGATTACTATTCCAGCACCCCTTCTAGAAAATACCACTGGTGAAAAGCCTCTCAAGGAAGACTATCATACTGTTCAGCTCTTGGGTCTTGTACTAGAGCTTCTTTCATTCTGTGTGGAACATCACACATACCATATCAAAACATGCATCCTGAATAAGGTTTGTTAAGTCAATGTATTTTTAAAATTCGGTATTCAGTTTTTAATTGATTATAAATCATACAAATGTCATGATAAATATCAAGTTAGACTTATGCGCAATTTTGAAAACAGCTCTCTTTTTAAATTTTCTGCAATTTTTCAAATTTTAGGTCAATTATATATTTGAAATTATTTATTCCAAAAGTATGTAAACACACATTTATTTGATATGTGACATTATAATTATACTTCATGAAACTTACCTTCTTACTTACCCCCATTTACTAATTTTAAATAAGTAATTGGCTGTGACAGATGCACAGACAAATAGGTTTACGAACCTATAGAGAGGTTTCCTTTTTGGTACTCTAAAAAAAGGAAAAGGGAACTGTATGTAATTTTTGATTGAGATCAATAATTAATTGATCTCAATTGAATAAAAAATTGAATATGCAAAAAATTTAATATGAATTGTAACCTTTTCATATATTTATCAGGATCTACTTCGTCGTATATTAGTGCTGATGAGATCGACGCACACTTTTCTGGTGCTAGGTGCACTAAGGTTTATGAGAAAAATAATTGCACTCAAAGATGAATACTATAATCGGTACATTATTAAAGGAAATCTCTTTGCACCAGTCATTGACGCTTTTCTTAGAAATAATGGCAGGTAAGCGTTGAGATCATTTTGTCATTAATCTTGAGCCATCTCATTTGAAAGTTAACAAATCAAGTATGTGGTGTGTGTACAGTCAAATGTAAAAGAAAAAAGCCATAAGGTATTCTTGAGTTTGTAGATTTTAATGAGATTAACTTTTATATTTGATCAATTTTGCATTTACAATTTTTTCAGGTATAACTTACTTGACTCTGCTATATTGGAGTTATTTGACTTTATTAGACTGGAGGATATCAAATCACTTTGTTCTCATGTAGTAGAAAACTATGGGAAGATCCTAGATGATGTTGAATATGTACAGATTTTCAAGGCTTTAAAAATGCGCTATGATCAACATCAAGACAAGCTAAAGGAAAGGGATAGAGGTAAGTTAATTTTTTTATAAACTAAATCAAAATAATTTGCCATTTGTAAAACTCGTAAAACTTAATCATATTTTGAAGTAGTTGACAGACCTGGAACATACTGAGAAGAACCAGCAGGAGACTCAGCAGGGGCTGCTTTTTCCCTGTTTTCTTTAGTTTTGATTTTATTAGACTATGACAATTCTGTCCATCATAATAATAAAAATAAAAAAATTCAATTGTTAATGTACAGTGATATATACTCAATAGCCATATCCAGACAAAATGATCAAATTCTTTATTGACCTTGTAACAGAGAATGTTACACTAGTCATATACATTATTTATCATTTACAAATATAACAACTATTGATGCATCTTGGTTTTGCAATCCTACTGTCTGTGATCTAGGATTGTGGGTCACATAACAATACAACTACATAATTATTGGTTTACTGACGAGATGTCAATTCTGTTTCTCTCAATTCTACAATTATATTGGGATTAAGGTTTTTGTCTTAAAAGGGTTAAAGTGACTCATTATATACTCAATTCATTTGGTAGGTAACTGATTTATTGTGCGATACAATGACATATTATGCTAGACGCGTCATATACGAATATTAATACTATTTAAAATGACGTAAACTTGAAGTACGTTTAAGCGCATAAAATAACAACTGCGCATAAAAAAGTAAGAAGTAAAAGAATTATTAGGGTGTAAAATCGTTATCAAGAAGTAATAGAAACGCGTCACTTGATGGTCGCTTGGTGGAACTTTGGCTATGCCTTACTTTAAATAGCCACTTTTGAATAGGGAATATGCGTCTGATTCGAATAAGGGTTAAATATATTTTAATACGATCGTTATTGCTTTAGAATAAAGTCCATGTAAATATTTTTCAATATTACGGTAGAGCGTCGATTATCCGAACGTCGATCAACCGAACGACCGCTTATCCGAACTCCCGACTTTCTCGCGCCCCGCGCTCGTGCGTGCTCTTGTTTCGACTTGTTAGTTATTATTCGTTTGTTAGTTACTTCCGAGTTGCCGCTAGGAAATAAACTAAATTTTGTCGCTTGAAAGTTAATTAGTAGTTAGGTCACCCTTGCTGCTTCCCTTGTTCTATCACTCATTGATCATGAGGATGTCTGTTACTTTGACTTAAACGAGGATCTTCTGAATAAGTTGGACCGCCTTATCAACAATGCCATCCGCCTCATCTTTTGCCTTCGGAAATATGATGTTTATTACTATCGGTCTCAACTTAAATAGCTCCTTTGCACACTCTTTTCTGTTCTTTCCAATCCGCGTTCTCCTGATTACTTAAAATGTAAATTCCATTTCTAATATCTTTGCGATTCGCATGGTCGACAACTTCGTTCTTCAAACACACTTTCTACTCCTCTTTTTCGTTCTGGCTTTATGTCCGACTCTTTCCGACTGCGGAATAACCTCCCTGAGACCCTGACCCCATCAGAAGATCTCCCAATAAATTTATTTTTAAACGTAAAGCTCATGCCTTTCTTATGCAAAATATGTGAAATTCATCATTAATATTATGTATGTATCTATAGTTGTGTTATTGTATGTATGTATTTATATATGTATACGTATATACCGCGTGTTACAAAAAAACCCGTTACCCCGAAAATGGCAATGAGTATACATAAAACTGAGATAATGGACGCTGTCCTTTATATCGTAGCCATTGTATTTATTGAAAAAAACAATATCGAAGTTTAGCAAAATTTTCGATACCATTTATCGAAGCACACCGACATTATGATCAGCTGTTTCAGTTCATTGACTTCTAAATCAAAGACTATTATTTTGCCAGACTGGTTATATCTACTGGTATTTAGTGCCTACGTCACAGTACAGCGAAATAATTTATCTAGTTATGTGTACATACGCAAATATTCGAACATGCAAAATATTACACGAAAACATTATTTTAAAACTATTTCCAAAATTCGTTTTTATTCAGATTAGAGCTCCCTTTCCAATATACCTTGCCATATTACTATGCCCGTGCTACGCATATATCAGGCACGGAAACAAACAATAAACAGAATTTACGAACTGTAGACGGCCCATCCAAAATAATAATCTTTATAATTAATGCTACGACACGTCACTCAATAATGTACTCATAAAATCAATTTCATCTAATCTAAACAAATAGAGATGCAGAGGAAGAAGAAATATCGCGACCTCTAGATAAGTAGAATATTCGTTATTGCACGAACAATTTTTTTTCATAATTAGATAGTTTCATTTTTATGAAAATAATTACAATATTATGAAAGTAGGCGACGTATATCACTGAGTGTCTTCCAGGTAACTTTGTCTATCTGTAGCTGCTTCATCTTTGAACCAGAATTTTTACACATCGTGTCTTTAAATCATGATAACCTGGTACTCGTACCTACAATCTTCTGTTACGAAAGTAAACCTAATATGACGTCAGCGCAGATACAGTCGGGGAATAAATTGAAACATTGATCAATATTCGTGTACATATTTCAATTGTGTTTATGGTCAATTTATTTCTTTTCTAATATTTTTACAATAAAAAGATCAGACTTAAAATGGAATATGAACCTTAATCGGGAATATGATCATTCCCGATTATGGTTTCAACCACTTACTCTTACTACATGTAAATTGTTTCAAGTAAAATGGATTGCTACCTTAGAGTTAATGATATGCACTACACTTAGGTATCTTAAAAGCGTCTGACAAGAAAAAATGTCGACAAAGAGCCGCTTTCTGAATTGAGAAAAGTACAAAATCTCAACTGAATATTCTCAATAACTGAAGTTTTTTTATATTTCACTAGTCAAAAGTCCTAGTTTTATCAAACTGCTAACAACTAATTACAAAAAAAAACCGGCCACGTGAGAGTTGGACTCGCGCAGGAAGGGTTGTATCCGGTGCTAAGAAATAACTTCATTAGCTTAACTCTTAAAAATATTTTTTATTGTTTAGGTATTTAAATACGTAAGACAAATCAATACATAATCGGTAAAATCGAGCCTAAAACAAATTCACTTATTCCTCCGAGTGTACAATGACGTAAGATAGAGATAGAGAGGGAGGGAAAGAGAGAGAGAGAAAGAAACGAAACATTATCGTCCGTGTTTGTGTGATGTCGCGCGCGAGTGACTACTTGACGCTAGATACGGTAGTAGTAAACATTTGGTACGGATTTTAATTTATTATCTATTTTATTACTGTGAGCTATTCAACTGAATTTTAGAATCAGAGTATAGGATTTACTATTTTAATGCTGTAAGAAATGAAAATGAATGAGACGTTTTATTATGTACTGTTTACCTATTTCCTTAAATAGAAAAAGCCCTAAAACGACCGACACAGCTAACAAACAAATGGTCATTTATTTGAAAAATAGTTCAAAATAGAAAAGGTGTATAAAATGAATTAAAATTTTAAACAGGTATGTCGATTGTATGCAGATTACTACGGCCCACGAAATACATTAATTTATTTATTTAACGATGTCTTATGATAGTCGAAGCTACTTCCTCTCTACAGACTGAGCCAAGCATGCTTGTTTGCAGGTGCAGCGTGAAAGTATATCACATTTCTCACTTAAACTAGTCTTTACCAAACATTAACAACGTTTAAATTTGTAAATACTAAAAATACAACCATGTACTATCTTATCAACAACAATAAAAATTTACAAAATCTTTGTCAATTAACAATTCCTAATACGTAACGTACATAACGTATTATGTACTTACGTACGTATGTAAAAAAATTAGTTGCAACAATGTCCTGCGACGATTTTTTTAATTTGTATAATAAAATGTTGATCACCTCGGTACTAGGCAACTAGAAGTTTAGGCTCAAACTTTAACATTGCCGCCTGTCTAGGGTTGCCATCTATCCATCTTTAGCGGGACATGTTTGACTTTTTAGATTGTGTGCAGCTAAATGTTAATGTCACATGTCCGGCGGTATAGTTTTCATAGGTTTTTGGTATACCTGTGCCGAAGCTATATCAAATAAACTATGAATACACACAAATTCGAAAAACGTCAAATACCCAAATACCCAAAAAGACGCAGTGTTGCACGGGCATTTGCGAAATTTGAATACAAATCGTTAGTTTGTTTGCATCGTATAGTCTCCGAAATTACTTTATAAAAAAAACCTTTTTCAAAATAGGTTGTGCAGTTTTGATGTTACGATCAAGCCTTATTTTATGAATTCACGTTTTGGCTGTGATAAAAGCGTTAAAATTATGATGTAGTTATCTTATCTTTAATTACCGCTTATTTGTATGTTACGTCTTACTACAAAATCAATTGAAAGTTAGTGATTTTTGCTTAACGCACCCTCTGAATAACTAGGCAGTAACCCTCGCGAAGCCGTGAACTAATATTACTGTCTACTACGGTAATATTGTTTTACGGCTTCGCGAGAGATTTGACTTAGTCCGGCTTTAAGGACAAAATTTCCGATCTAATAAGAGAAGATGGCAACCCTATCCCGCTACTTCTAAGATTTAATTGCGGAACTATAGGTACCTTTCTGTGCGCCTTTGACATGCCGCACACTATGCAGCGGCTTATAATAAAGGACTCAAATTGGCGGCTTTCCCTTTTTATCACTTTTTCTTTATTCAGTTGTTCATACGTCGTCGATGTGATCACGTTTCGAAAATGTCCGTGTTCTCTAATTCCGAGTTCTATGAAAAATGCTTTTATCAGTGTTACATGGGATGCAGTGTTGTATTGATATAAATTGAGACTATTTTGAAAAGATGTAATTATACTGAAACGTCAGTTAACCAGAGGTTGGCCGCGATCTTTAGTTTTTTCTTGTGGAATAAAATTAAGTGCCTAATAAAGTGTAGGTGAGTGAACCTCACAAGTAATGCTTAAACAGTGAATAAGGAAGTGAAAAGGTAAAGTACAAATAGTAATTCGCAAATATTTATTTTTAAATACGCCAAAATCGTTTGTGAATTATGTCGCATATCATTTTTTTATTTTTTATTATCGTAATATCAATCAGATTTGTCGGACCATTAAAGTATGAACTAAAAGTTAGACTCGTATATCAGTGTTTAAATAAATTTTACCTATCTATCATAAATAGGTACTACTTAAAATGGTGTTTGATCTGTAATTCAGAAACAGCTGAGTCGGAAACGATGCTATGAAATGATGTGCGCGTTGATAATAATATGTATTATAATTTTTTTTACTGAAATTAGACTACCGGCTGAACAGCGTCGGTTACCATACCATTTTGCCAATGATTTGATTCCTATTTAATTTCTTTTCATTTTATTTTCGATCGAAATAGGTTAAGTATTTACTGTGTAAACTGGCAAACGCAGACATGTTTTTAAGTATATTTTCTCTCTCATTCTTAGTATGTATGTGTGGGTGTGTACTAGGAGAATAGAAAAAAAAAATTAGAAAACATAGGAGATAGGTAGTGTGCCATTACTCCTGGTAAGGTCATTAACCTAAAATAGTGATGTGACATAGCACACTCGATGTATTTATTAATTATTAAAAATTTGCCTTTTTACTGAAAGTTAAAAGTTAAGCAAAGGTTTTGAAAATTTGGCAGAGTACTGTTTATATGATATACTTCAACACCCTTCAGCTATAACGGGTATTTTTGTAACACCCGGTATAGTTGTATGTTTATATATATTAATATAATTTTACGTCAGTTAGTTAGTATCTTCTTTATGTCTACTCATAGTTAATTTTTACTTTATGCCGCCATCGCGTTTATAGGTTTTCCTAAAGGTTGACTGAGAGAGAATACCGTTAGCATTTAGTCCGTCTTTTGTACCATTGCTTTACTGGTCAATAAAGTTTAATAAATAAATAAATAATACAGTTCGATTATCCGAAAAACCCGGTTTTCCGAACACCCCTGTCCCAATTAGTTTGGATAATCGACGCTCTACTGTACTTCGTTTTCGTCTTGAAAATAATTATTAAAAAGTGTAAAAAAATATGGTAATAAATAACAGATTACAATTTTAATTATGTTTTAAGCTTTTATTTTTATTTCACCAATTTGATAAACAATATTATTATTAAAAAAGTATTATAATTATATAAAATCGATTATTTTTTTATCGATTTGGTAATTTAATAATAATCAGTCACTCAAAATCCATACTGATTTAAAATGTCATATCTCTAGTCGTATTCTTTGACGTCACTCCAACCGAGCCAACTGCTCGTAGTTGTTACTTATTTTCACCATTGTTACTAAATTTTAGATTTTCAGTGCCATAAATGTTATTTTTTTACAGTTATGTAACGATGTAGAATATCATATGAAAACTTTTCAAATAATGTGCATATTCCTTATTATGTTTATTCCTGTGTTATATATCATTGTTGAGATGTGCATAAAATTAAATCAAAATCATTTATTCAGTCTAAGCTGTTACAAGCATTTATGAAAGTCGAAACTCTATGCCATCGGTTTGTAAATCAACGGTGGGAGACTTTGTATTCAATAAATATTTAATTGTCTGCAGTAAGTGGTAGTGTAGGCGTGGCGGAGGCGGTGGTACCGTCACTTCTACGTACAAGATATAGGCGGGAAGCGCGTGCGCCTGACGATGAGGAGGAGATGTGGTTCAACGATGACGACGAACTCGAAGACGAAGCGCCCCTAGACGCGGCGCAGGCGCACGCGCACGCGCACCCGCACACACATGCGCATCATGCGCTCGATGCTATTGGTGAGAGAGTTGCTTTCATTTACTGGAATTTTATTTTGGTTTATAGTCAGGTCGTCTGAACAATGAGAATTTCGTATGTTGACCTTCGTGTCTACTCATAGATTTGTAAACATTTTAGGTTTACTTTATCATGACAAAATTGACTAGAGCATCTGTGCAAATGCAATAACAATATGACTGCACATGACTGAAAGAGATATGTAATGTCAGATCATAAATTTCCTCTTCAGTGGCCGCACTATAGAAATTAATTGGTTTAATTTCATTTTATTAAATATTCAAAGGTTAAACATTAAAATTAATAAATACATATGTAGCATGTTTGTGTACTACTCTTCATTAATTAATTTTTAAATATAAAATTATTTATATGTCTATCTGTGTGATACGCATCTAGTTGTTACTGTTTGACAATAAATGAAAGATACATGCTATTTAACTAGTAATTTCATAAACAGATGTTCAAAATACTCAAGCTCAAGAAATATATCCTAGGTCTTGATATAATAGAAGGAATAATATATTTCTATCAGTATGTTATTTTAATTATCCAATGGGCATCCTGATAGTCATAGCTAATTGCAGAAGGCGTTATCTTAGTTTCTGCCTTCGTATAGCCCAGTCGAGTAGCTCGATGGCGTATGGATAATCGCCGCGAGCCGCGATCGTTGCTGTTAAGCAACTTTCGTAAGGGTCGGTCAGGGGATCATCATCATTGCAGTGTCCAGTTTTGGACATAGATCTCTTCCAATTTTTTCCATGTCTGGCGGTTTTGAGTCTATTCTATCCAGTTTTGACCTGTGTGTCTTCTGATACCATCCACACATCTTTAGGGTGGACGACCACGTGACCTATTGTTTCCGCGGGGCCTCCACCCTCCGTGCCATATGTCCTGCACATTTCCACCTCCGTTGGGCAATTATGGTAACCACGTTCCTAAGACCAGTCTTACTTCTGACCCATTCAATTGTCTTTCTGTCACGAAAACTGGCATTTCTCTCTCCATTGCTCTTTGTGAAATTGAATTTTTCAGTAGGCTTTTCAGTGAAAGACATGATCTCAGTTCCATAGGTAAAATACGGGCAGAATATACTGTTCAAATACTTACCTTAAGTTTGATTGATATTTTTCCACGGAGTATCTTATTATTTATTCCGATGGCTACCTAGGATTGAGCTACGCGACGGTCAATCTCCGTGGTTTGATTGGGATAGCCTAAGGCAACCAATTGGTCCAATTATATGTAGGTGTCAACAGTTTTTACAGGCATATTTTATAGCCTCTGAAATGTTGGTCATAATCTTGGTCTTTGAGTGGTTCATCTTTAAGCCTACTTTGTAAAATTTAACCTTCAATTCTTCAATCATTTCCAACATTTCCTCAACGCTTTCCGAGAAGAAATCGTCTGCAAACTTTAGATTGTTAGGCCGTTCTCCATCTATTAATATACCTTTTTCGTCCTAATTCAGTTTCCTGAATATATTTTGTTAAGCCTCAGTAAATAATTTTGGGGAGATGATGTCTCCCTGTCGTACTCCTCTGGCCAAACGTTCAGGGGTGACCAAAAATTATTACACGAGTTACTCCCTGCTTTGGAAAGCACGTTAATACACTCCAATACGTATTCCGTGCATCCGTGGAGGGCCATGGCCCATCCTCCTGAACCATCCATAAGGAAGGCCTGAGCCCTTGCAATGGGTCGTAAAAGTGCTAGTTACAGCCCAGTCAAATAAATACAAAAAGGAAACCGCCAATTGATTATAACATTAACATTAAAGCCACAGGCATCAAATCAAACACACCCTCAAGTTTTACTACGACTTAAAACGATGAGATGCTGTTGAAGAAACTGTTGTATCGATTTCTAATTTCAAGTCCAGGCCTTTATTTACTTTTCGGAACGCCGCTTTGACAGTGGCTTTCCCCATTCATTTTGTATCTTAAATTTGTGATGGTTAAGTTCAAATTTCACGGAAATTTAGCCCTTTTTTTAATAACCTGATATGTGTACAGCAAAATTTAGGAAATAGCGTTAATATTTGTATAAACATTTTTAAAGTGACTATATAATTTGAATTATTTCAGGGAAAATAGTTGATAAGAAAGTGTGCTCGAGTACGGAGAGTGTCAACGGGCCGAGTAGAGTCCTTCTCAGCAGCACAACGACGAGTAAACCAACGCACACCGACGTACAGGTATCCTCGCCCAGATTACTCAATAAGGTAAAATTTTACTTCCCTCACGTCTACTATTGCTTCGGGGATCATCGTCTCTGTTTATAAAAGTATGTTCTTGAGATATAAGTATAATTAGTAGTTATCCCGCCACCCCTAAGAGCTATGAAGTCGAACGTTGGCTTCAAAACTAAACTAAAAAAATATCTTTTGGATGCACAAATAGCTTATAAATAGCTTATAAGCTTATAATATAATGCAAATAACTCTTATATATAGCGGCTTCTTGTAATGGATTGATATTAATTTCCAAAAGTTGCTGAATTTTAAATTCTCATTTTTATTAAATGTATGTGTGCATGTTATTTATATTTATGGTGAATGTAATGGATGATTTATTTTATAATATGAATAAATTACAACACACATATATAATGATAATTGAAATAGTTACTATTTTTAAATGAATTTGTTATTTGTAATGTTTAATTTCTTTTAATTTTTAATTTCTTGTAAGAGGTTTTCATGTCGACAATTTGACATCTATGTGTCAAAAAGAGACAATTAGGCGTCAATTGAAAATCAGCGTCAGGTTTAGCAATCTGACAGTGAGCTGAATTGGCTGCCTATTTCGGTGCAATGTGTGACGCATTTTTTCTTTTTTTAATTATATTTTATTTTATTTATTTTAATTATTATAAAATGTTTTATGTCTATTTATTTGTGCACCGGAATAAATACATTTTTCTTTCTTTCTTTTCTTTTTTACTCCAATAGCCAATATATATATATATTGTTTTGCATAATGTTTTTTTAGTATAATCCCCTCAAATTGCTAATGCGCCTTGACCGCCATCTTGGTGACGTAGTTGTGTTCAACAATCAGTACCGTTAACAAATAAACACTGGTTGAGGAGTACACTTTTAGAGTTGGGTTGTGTTGAGATCACAAATAATTGTTGTTATGTTTTGTTGTTTTCGATTGTTATTGCTTAGTTTCGTTGTTACTTGTTACGATCTACTAAAATAGAAACTGCTATTAAGAAACACAACAAATTAAAAGTTATAAAATTATTATAACAAAATTTTGGGGATTATTCATAAATGTATCAATAATAATTGATAAATAATTTATTTCTTGCATTTTGTGCTATCTATACTTTTTATTTTCAAATCACGTTACGCGCCACTAGGTTCAAGTTGTAGACAAGATTCCAGCGCATGAGCAATTTACGCGACTTATATATGGTGTATGTCATGTTTATATTTTAGTACATTTTACCCATGGAAATGCCACGGTGCTATATGTTGTAAAAAGTTACAAGATATAGCATGGTTGCCGAACAGAAAGAATTTTGTACGTCAACTTATTTGCCTATTGACAAAATTAAAAGTAATACGAGGGTCAAACTGAAAGTTCTTAGAACTGGCCACTTATAAACAATATAATAAAAAAATAATTCTAAAATTTGAAAATATAACTCTTTGCCAATATTACTGAGTATATATTTCATTCATTTGTCATTTGTTTTACGATTTGGCGGCAAATTGAAAATTGTCTGTGTCACGTCATCATGAATTTAACACGAGAAAATTTTCGTGCAATGATTTTTTATGACTTTCGATGTCATTTAAGTCAACAAGAAAGTTATGATAGACTACGATTGGCCTTTCACGATGAAGCCCCATCTCGTGCGACTGTTTACAACTGGTTTAATGAGTTTAAACGTGGTCGCACTAATCTCACTGATGATTTACGTGAGGGACGGCCTTCTACGGCGACGACTGAAGATAACATCTGTGTTGTGCGGCGTATGATAGAGACTGACAAAAGAGTGACCTATCAACAGATTCGGACAAGCTTAGGCATCGGTATGAGTCAAGTGCACAAAATCCTCCACGAACATTTAGCGGTCAGGAAGCTTTGCGCCCGGTGGATACCTCATAATTTGACTGAGGCTCAAAAACTCCATCGTGTGGATTGGTGTCGTAAAATGATTGAAAGATTTAACGGAGGTGACTCAAATGCTGTGTTCGACATACTAACAGGTGACGAAAGCTGGATTTACTGTTATGATCCTAAAACCAAAAGACAATCTGCTCAGTGGGTGTTTCCTTTCGAGGAGTTGCCAACTAAAGTGAAGAGAGATCGAAGTGCGGGAAAAAAAATGGTGGCCTCGTTCTTTGGAAGGATAGGTCATTTTGCAACAATTGTGTTAGAGGATCAAAAAACAGTTTCTGCAGAATGGTACACTACCAATTGTTTGCCACTTGTCTTGGAAAAAGTTCGAGAGAAACGACCTCGCAGTAGGATCCTCCTTCACCACGACAACGCCTCGTCGCACACCGCCAATCGAACGATCGACTATTTGGCGACATCAAACGTTGAATTACTGGGTCACCCGCCGTATAGCCCCGACCTCGCGCCTTGTGATTTTTATTTATTTCCAAAAATTAAAGAAAAACTTAAAGGAAAGCGGTTTATGAATGCTGAAGAAGCGGTGGCTGCGTATCGCGATGCCATTGAAGAGACCCCTAAGGACGAGTGGGCAAAGTGCTTTTCCCAGTGGTTCCATCGCATGCAGCGGTGTATTGACGTGAATGGACAATATTTTGAAAAGATATAATAAAACTAATAACTGGCTAATGTAATCAGTTTTTGATTTTCTAAGAACTTTCAGTTTGACCCTCGTATGTTTATGTACCAGAGACAAAGATATAAGTCTAATATCTGGTCAGTGTATAAAATTATTTTTGTTCAGCGGCGGTGTTATACATTAAAGTCAAGTTAAATGAAACTGACAACTGTCCAAATAGTTAAATAATTTGCGAATCTTTACATTTGTAGTAACCTTATGTGTTGCTATGTGCACATATATCTTAAGCTTTTCTTTATATAATTTTATTCAGAATTATGTTCCATCTTAATTTTGTCTTAAAAAAGTCTTGTCTAGTTTATGAATTATTTTTTGAAGATTATGATCTTAAGAACATACTTATTGAAATAATTGTAATTGAAACGGTGTAGGATAATTTACCTATGGTAATTATTTAAATTTATATATTTTATTATATGGGAACGGGTTTCAGAAATATGGAAGTGAATTTCTAATTCATTTTGCTTTAATTTGCTTCATATATTTTAATGTTAATGACTTACACCAGCACATCAAAATATTAATATTACATCAAAAGTTGCTTCATTTAATGCGCGTACTCATTCAAATGATAATAGTTTTTGTGTCATCGAAATTTGGCTAGGATTACCGAAGTTACACTGTTGAAAATTTTCACCGCGTTTTTAAATTTGTGTTTTTAGCGCTATGCAATGACGTCACGTCACGACGCGATAGTCAGGCTCGACTACGGATGATGCGGACTTTTTATGTTTAAATGCATAAATTTTATTATATTTGATCCAATTTTGCATTCACAATGCTATACCGAAAAATATTCTTCTGTGTTTCTAGTGTTTGTTTATGTGTTTGTGTTATAAATTAATTAAGATATTATGCTTACTTAATTAATATAGTGATGGAAAAGGGTTTATTATGGTTGCAGCTGAAATGCGAGGAATAAAACTGAATAAATAAGTGATGTTTAACTACTAATTAATGTTGTTTTTTTAGATGACTGTTTTTGTAGTTTCAAATGGCGGCTAACATTTTCCCAGTCGTCAAAGTTCAAAATATACTTTCAAAAATATTAAATGAGAACAAAGGTAGTTTAGATTGTTTCATATTTAACAAGCAGAGCAATAAACATTTTTAAATGTTATTTTTTTTCAATGGGTGACAGACAAAAAGTTCATTCCTTTATGACAAACACACTGAGAGTTTTTCTTTTAAGTTTTCCGTATGATTTTCAATATGTAATATGTATATATAAATGTGTGTATAAAATAATGCAGTCATATTAATTATCAGTGGAACTGCATTATTTATGTTTTTGTAAAAATAAGGCCCCACTAAGATATCCAGTATCAATCAATATCGGCAAAAAACGTAAAAAACACAAAAAAACACACAAAAAACGCCCAAACCCAGAGAAAGTTCAACTTATTTGCCAGTAATAATAAAGAGATCATATTTACCTTTTTTGTTCTTTTTTATGTATCAATAAAATTTAAAGTTTGTTACACCTGACTTTACAATCAGTGTTATAGGTATCAAGTGTGATTTAGGTAAACATAGCTTTGAAATAATATTACATAAAACTACTTGTTATTTGCCCCTGACTACAGTCGGGTTGATGGCTATCAAGATGCATGAATCTACTAGTCTTGTGTGATATTTAAATCCATTTGTGATAAACTTGGGTTTCCTTTTTTAAAACAAAAAGTCATTGCCGACTTCAACTCTTCGCCGCCCGTGAATCTAAAACTGTACCTAAATGAATTAACCTGTTCATTCATTTAGGTACAGTTTTAGATTAGGTATTAGGTATCTATTAAAAAAAACTTGAGGATGTATTCATAATGAATAAAATACTTACGTCTAAATAATCTTTATTACAATCCAAGTGATTACTGGCTGTGAGAGAATCTGCTCTTTTCATAATCTTCAACCATATTTTTCGGATATTTCTATCATGTGGTAGGTATAGAAAAAAACCATTTTTGGGGTGTTTTTTCACAGAAGTTGGTACACATATGGACAATACAATATTTCGTAACCATTTTATTTATAGCGAAACCGCATCGAGCCAGTGTGTAGGAGTCCGCAATGTCGCGAAGTGACGTCGCAACGTTAGCGCGGTCGCTTTACCGGATTTTGCCGCGGAAGCCGTGCTTGAATGTTTAATATCTCAGTCATTTTTGAAGATAGGAGAAAAATAAAAAAAAAACTTTTTTCTCGAGTTATCTGCTTTTTAGATATGCTGATAACAAATATCAATAGTGTGACTCATTGGATAAATCAAATCTGTTATGTAATGCTATATTTATTTATTGACTTATTTATTAACTGTCATCAGTGTCATCAAGCTTTTACACAAATTAATTTAATCAATTTTTGTTTTTGAATAATGACTTTGTAACGTTTTTTTTTTCTTTTTAATTAGCATTTCTTGAATTCTATTAAAGCGATCAATCTATTAAAATAAGTAATTAATATAAATGTAAATAGTTTAAATATTACTTATTCTGATCAAAATGCTTTTCTAATCCAACATTTGCAAATATTTGCTGCACAACCAGGTTTGCTGATCAATAATTGGTCATTACTCATGTTTAAATTTATTTAAAAATGGAAATTGATTGAAGTGCAAAGAATGGGCAACATATAATAAACTAATACATATTATTGTTATGAAATAAATCGTATATGAGCAGAATTATAATTAATTCTGTATTAATTAACAACTACTTTCTTGTCTAAAAGAAAAATATACATATAAATAGCATTTATTTACATTAGCACATCTGAAGTTATTATATACAAAGCTCATTATTCGTTAGGTGACATTTTATTGATAATCTGTTTATGATGTATGTATTTACAAACAAGTTCCTCGTAAACACTGTATGAATTTTGGTATTCCACACTTGTTGCTATGATGATATAGTAAACAAAATAAAATAGTATAGAGTATAACTGAATAGTTGCATATAAACAAGATGTTTCGTCTTGCCCTCCACCTTGAGTGAGGAACTCAGCAACATGTTTACTAAATAATATTTCATCACATTTGTTTAAAAACTGTTTATTCAATAAAGTGTTGCCTAATGAATACCCAGCTTTATATTGGAATTATCATTATTTCAATTTGATAACTGAGAGTTTTTCTATTAACTGTAATTAAATTGGCCAATTTTTGGTATTGGAATATAATAAAAGTGCCTACTAGTATTGAAAATATAAATTATAAGTTGTAATAACACCTCAAAACTCGTATATTGTAATTTAGATAACTTAAAAAAAATATTTTTTTTATTCTTTACTTCACCTTGCAACAGAAACGATGTAAACTATAAATGTTTTCCAGGGTCTGGTGGATTACGATGGCGACTCTGATGAAGAAGAAGATGCGGCTAGCAGCACGGCGGAGGAGCGCGATGCGAAACGGCCCCGCCTAGCGTAGTGCCGCCCTATTCAAGGAATATAAACACGGCCTCGCGTCTGTCTGCCCAGTGATACAAGTAATGTAACGTAGCAAGGCCGCCCGACTTCTAACTTACCGTTTTTGATAAAGCGATCATTCGATTAGGTGTCCCTAATAATGGTGGGTCCATAGAGATAACACGTTTCGTGGTGCTTAGGTAAAGCTAAATCTAAACTGACAATATTATTTATTGCGCAAAAATGTTAGTTTGTGTCACTAGATGCCACGCGAGGTTGTAGACCTGCATTTATAATGAATGTAGCTCTGTTTTATGTGCAAGCAAGAGTTCAGGGGTGCGACCGCTAACCATGATTCTATCCAAAAGATCTTAGCTATGCTATGATGATATTTCAATTCATGTTACTACTTTGATATGTCTTTTGGTGGTTAAATTTGGGATAAATTACGAAGTTGGCAATACTGCTAACAAATCATTCTTTATCGTTTTTTTTTTATTGTTACTGGAGTGAATGTCAAAGTAGAGAAATGAAACGAAATATCGCTATAACTTCGATCAGATGTATCCTATGACTAGAACCATGGCTAGAGAGTTAAGCGGCAGGCCCGGATCTAAAACTTTTTCAACCGGGGCAGAAACTTGATATTGCACCCTTTAACGCTCTCTGCCCCCCCCCCCCCCCCCCCTCGTATTTTATTACCATATTTTTTGCAATGTATAATTTAATTTACGGACTTTGAAATCGTCCCGTTCGTCCCGTCGTAGTAGTATGTTTATGCATTTGTTTTAAAAGACAGTTTGTGAAGTTAGTTTTTATTTACTGTATGAAGTTATATTGATTTTGGCGTCCGTGGCGAGTGGCCCCCACATGCCCTCCTACTCCTCTTCCTCCCCGTAGGTCCGGGCCTGTTAAGCGGTCGCTTTGCAAATCGAGAATCTTATCTTATCAATCTTATCTAGTGAACATAAAGCGTATTAGTGTGTTGTTTGACAACATTTCAGATGTATGCTACTTTTTGAAAATTACTAGAATTCATAAATCTGGTCAAAATAGGAAAATGGTGATTTAGATTCATATAGTATTATTTATTATTGTTACTATCAAAGTAAGTAATCCTTTGTTTTTATTAAAAGTGATTGAAGCTTTTTTAGTCATTTTACTGTTGGTTGTTGGTGGTTACTAACTGTATGACGACTGGAAAAGTTTTCATGGTTATATGGACCCACCCAGTTTATAGTGAGCGAGTTTGTGTTTATATACATAACGACTTTTATTGAATAAAAGTAACGATATGAGGATAAGAGGTTACAGATAGCAGCTACAATTGTTAAAAAAATTTGATACCGAAAAAACAGAATTGTCTGTACGTCTCTAACTACTTTATTTTTTAAAAAATATAGAGTTACTGATGTAATTTAAAATACTCGTATGTACGAGTATTTTTATACATAAAATAATCTGATCAGATGGTTTTGAAATAGCGCGCACGTCGCTAGTGATTATTAGGGCATCATTGCGGGGTCATAATAAATTATAATTAAATTGCAGCTATTTAATAATTTATAAAATACTACATTCATTTCACCAACGCTAATGCTACATGTATTAAAACCACAACATCTTTTTTTCGTGCTATATAATGCTAATCATATATCCACTCGTGCTGAAGGAGTCGACCGAGCCGTTATAAAATTAAATTGTGTGTGGTTATAAAGTTTAAAGACTATTCTTAGATTTTTTTGCTAAATAACAGTTATTTATATTTTAAAATCAATAAACATAATTTCAATCTTCCAATATTTGTAGTCTGTGTCTCGTCAAATGATACACCAATGAGAGAGCGTGACATAAATTGGTTGTATAACTAATAAGGCACGGGAAACATTCAAAGTGCAAAATTATTAAAATGATTTACTATATTTTTAAAAGTTTATTAGGATCTGTTTTGTATTTTATTTATGTATGTGTTTGAATATAAGTACTGCATATGATAATTATTCTTTTTCCACGGAAAATCCTTTTTGTCTATCCCACAAATGACGTCACGTCCTCCGAGTCGCCGTTTACGCGGTTATTTTAATCAGTTAGATTATAAACATAATTCTGGGTACGTGATGAGGTTTATTTACAAAAAATATTATTATTTCTAGGAATAAACACTCATACTGATTAATTTAAAAGTTTTTAAAAAGTTGTCTTGTATGGAACTTGAATAATTATTACTATCAGTTCTTTTGATTGAGGAATATTGAAACAAATTAATTTGGTAAATGTAAAAGAACACAAAAATGTATAACAACACACCCAAAGTACCCAAATTTAGTTGGAAATTGGATACCTTCAGAATTTTATACAATAAATTTTATAAATTCGATTCTTTCGACTTCTTCGGCGTGTTTGATAAAGACAGATTTGCGTTAACTCTAAGACGTGAAAGTAACACTAAACACTAACGACATTAGCAAATATGAATTCTATTTCTCTTGTAATTTTTTTTTTTTCCGAATCATGTTACTGCTTGACGATTCTAAATATGAGTATTGGTATATTCAAGTATCCAAGTTGATTAAAACATCAATACTTATCACTCATTTCATGAATCACACTCGATTAATCGTTAATTTTATCGATTATTATATACTGATATTCTGAGATCTTCCATTCAAGTACAGAGCTTCAATAAGGCAACACCTCTTGTGTTTTTACTTTTCTCTGAGCCTGTTTCCCCACAACAGGGAATAAGAAATTTGAATTCACATTTGCTATCAATGTACATACGAGGCAATAAATCATCAATACCCCTGCAAATAGGATTACAATATTCAATGTTAAATGGGCTTAAAGTACTATTTCCATATTCAGACATCTAAACGATTTCTAGGGTTTACGTTTGCATGGAATAGGTTTGGTTACTAATTTTTGTGTCCGTCTGTAGGGTATAAATACGTATTTTTTTATATATCTTCCGTAATCTATAAATTACGCTGATAAATTGTATTGAAATAACTTATTACGTCTCACCTTTGTACATTTTCAACATAGTTGTGATGTAGCTAGCACCCACTCCTTTAAATGCCTATTATCTAAGCCATTTCTTGTTACAAGGAATTTAAAAAAAGTAATTAATATTTTTCTATTATCTTACTAAATAGTCGGTTAGCTCGTTTACACGATGGTCTCCATCCAGTTGTCGTAACGGGCGAAGATGACTTAGTTAAAAAAAGAACTATTTAGTCCATCGCTCTGATAATAGAAAAATATTAGATTTCTTTTTTTTTCTATCGACGTAATTTATTGATTATGCAAAAAATAAAAAAAATACGTTACTAATAATCTACCTGACGGAAAAACAAGCAAAAATTAGTTATTATCCATATTCCACGATTATTTTATTCAGTCAGTAAGTTACCGCAATACCGCGAGTATAAATAGAGCTCCTGCGTCATCCGTATGTAACCTCACTTACATAGGTAAAATTCTGACGTTATTTCTAAGACGATATCGGTTTCTTTATGTCTTTAATATTTTTTATTTTAGTTATTCATAATAGAGAATATGTTTTGCATGCAAAAGTGCTTTTTAACGCCTTCCTTTCTTTCCAAAATGGCAAACATTAACAGTGATATTAATTTTTAATTTAGCGTCAGAGTAAATTTACGATAAAATTGCAATTTTTGTATTAGTCCAAGTTGATATTATATAGAGAATAAGCAAACCTTACCTTTTAGGAGTAAATGTTACTCCCGTAGAACCTCATACTAGGTGACCCTTTGCTAATTCGCTGTTTAATACATAATATGAATTTTGACTAATACTAAGTGTAGTCTCAGCATAAATTTACTCCAACGCTAAACTTTGTTTATTAATAATAAAACTGTTAGTGTATTTTAAAGCTGTTATAGATCATTAGGACTTTTCACTAGTGACGAGCGCATACAAACACACTGAGAATGACTGGATGAATAGATAAATAAGTATTAGTAAATTATATTTATTTAAATTTTGGACACTGAAAGTAAGTTTTAAAAGAATAAGATGAGAGTTTAGTTCATCAGAATAAATTTATATGTTATTTTTGTAATAAAAGAAACATTAATTGTTTTGCGAAACGCAGTCTGCTTATATTCATTACAAGTTAGTAAATGTTAATATTATGAAGATATTATTAATCATTTTGTCGAGTTGGGTAGCCTTGATCTAGGTAATCTCATCTGGATGGGTATCGCCTCGGCGACATAATGTCTATGTTTTGTCTCGTAAATTGTGTAACCGTGAACTTTATATTGGTGGATTATATATTTGGAGTCGATCAAATCTGATTTCGCAAATAATATTTTTTCGTTTCACGAGAAATGTTACTTCAATAATATATTAATGCTCGTTCATTTCGTTGGCGAAAAGTTGATCGATTGAGTGGCAAAGTTTTAAGTTTTCTAAATTCATAATATAAATTGATTCGCGTCTCCGTTTACTCGTCTATAAATTTATATCAAATTGTCGCAATATGATTGTGTCAACTGTAGATTTGAAAGTTGTTTAAAAAGCTCTTGAAAATTACCACCGGCCTTTTAAATAACTTCAACACTAGAACAATTGTAAATTTGTCAATGCGTATTAAACGTAATTTGTAATAAACTAAATGTCAAAATTGCAAGAATGAAATTGGGATCTAATCTCACTTGGCACAATTAATAATAATTATAATGTTTTATTTAAAACCTCTAGGCAGTGCCCCTAGTCGGGTTATGTCCATATTTTATGTAAATAATATATTGAAATTAGGACCAATGTCCAATTTCAAACTAAGTAAGCGTATGAATTATTTCATACAGTAGTGTAATTACGTTAAACGGCATCAGAATGTAGAACATTGGTGGCAATGTGTATTTAATGAAGAAATAGAGATTATTTAAAGTTTAGGTTATTTTTCCGCGGAGTGTAATTGCAAAAGTACAAAAATAGCTGAAAAGGGGAATCTTTGTATAAATAAAATGGCAATGAAAAACAAAAAGCAGCGAT